TGATACACTCCTTGAATGAAAGGAGAGTCGATAAAGCTACTACGGTCCTCCTCCCAGCCTAATATAACCATTGTCTTTGTTGGCTGTCTCCCCAGGAGACTGAACCTCTCAAAGGCAGGAACTTTGCTTGTTTATGTTCACATTCCAACACGGCACAGTGCTTAGCACAGCACAGGCATTAAAAACAAAACCGACCGACCGACCAACCAACCAAAAAGCCACCCAACACTATTGAGGATAGGTATATTTTTTAAAAGCTAATTGATGACTTAATGTTAACTACCCTAGGAGTAATGATATTGTGGTTCTATAGGTGAATGTCCTTCTCCTTAAGGGGGTTTATACACAAGTATTTAGGAATAAAGTATCACCATGTCTGCATTTGCTTACAAACAGCTCAGGGGTGGTGGAGGACGGGGGGTGGAATTATATCTATAGCTTGAAATGCTTGCTGTATTTGATGTATTAGAGAACAATTTGAGCATGGGGAATGTCACATGGCTTTATGTTATAGATTCATGCAATCTCAATCAAAACCTCTGCAAATTATTTTGTGGATATTGGTAAATTAATTCTCAAGTTCATCTGAAAAGGAAAAAGGCCCAAAATACTGAATACATTCAACACAATACTGCAGAAAAACAAGTTGGAGTACTAACACTACCCACTTCTAGGCTTACTACAGAACTACAATAATCAAGACAGTGTGGTGTTGGTAAAAGATCAGATAAACAGATCGAGAGAACAGAACAGAGAGCTTGGAAATGGACCCCCATAAATAGTCAACTGATCTTTGATAAAGGAGCAAAGCCAATACAATGGAGAAAAGATAGTTCTTCAACAAATAGTTGAAGACATCCACATCCACACACACAAAAAAATGAATCTAGACACAGACCTTAACCTTTCACGAAAATTAACTTGATATGAATAGCATAAAAATGCAAATTTATGAAACTTCTAGAATGTAATATAGGAGAAAATCTAGGTGACCTTGGGTTTAGCAATGAGTTTTCAGATACAACCCCAAAAGCACAATGCATGAAGCAAAAATTGCTAAGTTGTACTTCATCAAAATTAAAAACTTCTGGTCTGTGAGAAATATTATAAAGAGAATGGAAAGACAAGCCACTGGGATAAAATCTTTGCAAAAACATATCTGATAAAGGCTTATATCTAAAATATACACATAAATCTTAAAACTAAACATTGAGAAAACAAACCAATTTAAAACACGGGCAAAAGGACATGTACTGATATGTCACCAAAGAAGGTATACACATGGCCAATGAGCATAAGAAAACATGCTCAACATCATATGTCATCAGGGGATTGCAAATTAAAACAACGAGACACTACTACGCATCTATCAGGATGGTCAAAATGTGGAGCAACAGGAACTGCCATTCTTTGCTGGTGGGAACGCAAAGTGGTACAGCTGCTTTGGAAGACAGCTTGGCAGTTTCTTATAAAATTAAACATGGTCTTATACATGATCTAGCCATCACACTCTCTCGTATTTATCCAGTGAGTTGAAAATTTATGTCCACCCAAAAGCCTGCACACGAATGTTTCCAGCAGCTTTATTCATAGCTGCCCCAAACTGGAAGCAAACCAAGATGCCCTTCAATAGGTGAACGGATGAGCAAACTGTGGAACATCCGTACAATACAATACTACTCAGCAATGAAAAGAAAGGAGCTATCAAGCCACGAACAGGCACGCAAGAACCTTAAATGCATAGTTAATAGAAGCCAGTCTGAAAAGGTTCCAGTATAATTCCGACTATGTGACACTGTGGAAAAGAAAAAACCGTAGACATAGTAAAAAGATCAGGGGGTAAGAGAAGGTGAACAGGTGGCACACTGAGGACCTTTAGGGCAGTAAAACTATTCTGTACGATATTGTAACGGTGGGTACGTAACACTGTACATTTTTCAAAACCCGTAGAAACGGATATGACACAAAGAGTGAAGCCTAATGTAAACCGTGGACTTTAGTCAACAATAGTCTATCAATATTGGTTCACCGACGGTAACAAATATATCACGTTAAAGTAAGATAATAATAGTGGAATAGTGGGTGGGGTGTATAGAGGAACTCTATACTTTCTGCTCAGATTTCTATAAACCTGAAACTGCTCTAAAAAAATTAAATTAAAAAAAGCTAACCAATAAATTAATCTAGATTAATTACCCTAAGGCTGGTAATAATAATACTGCAGTGATGTAGGAAAATAGCCTTATTCTTAGGAAATTTATACTCAAGTATTTAGAAAAGAAACGTTGTGATGTCTGCAACTTGCTTTCAAATAGTTCAGCAAAACAATTTTTAAAAGTATATCTGTGCATAGTCGGTTATGTTACAACACTGGCTGAATTCGTTCTGCAGCAACCGATATATTAGGGAACAACCTGATCGTAAGGAAACTCGCGTTTGCTGATACCTGATTCCGATCGCAAAGCTCACAAGGCGAAGGCAGAAAACTACGCCCGGCTGAACCGAGACGCGGAGGAATACACAGAACGCACCCCCTTTCCAGGCACACCTCAAACGTCCACCTGTTACCTGATCTCGTGGTGTGCCCATCATCTGTCGTCACTACTTTCCATCAAATGTCACACGGCCCTTTTTCCATCTCACAGGAACTCAAGCCCAACCCTTCCGACACCCGCCTTCATAAGCGAACCTCAGGCCTTTTTAAAGCAAAGTGCCATATTTTGAATATTTATGTATCTCTTAACTGTTGATCCTATGTAGAAGTGTCCTACCATTTTGATTAGGTTCCCACCTTGTTTTTACTATGTCACTGACGGTTTGGGGGTGTTGTGCCCAGATATCATTTTTCCTATAAATCTTGTCACTTTTAGTACATGATTTTCATAGCACAGTGATTCTTAGGAGTACATATTTCTTCCAGCTTTTCTAACGTTTAATTTTTCAACCTACGACTGGGGAATGTAATTTAAACAAAAGAGATAGGAAAAAATGTA